CAACACTCCCAGCCCTAGCATCTGTATAGACTTCTATCTTCATGTGATCATTATTCTTGAATAATATACCTCTACCTGGACATCTCTTCAAGTATGCTAATATTCTCTCAACTGCAAGGAGGTGAGTAGTTCTAGGAGAGTGCATATATTGACTGACAACGTTGACTGCATAACTGATGTCCGGTCGTGTGAGACAAAGATATAGGAGTTTTTCAACCAATCATTGGAACATAGCTTTGTCTTCAAGAGGTTCTCCACCCTCTGCATTGATCTTGTGATTCTGTTCAATAGGTGTATCTGCAGGCTTAACACCCAACTTTCCAGTTTCTGCTAATAGATCTAGAACATACTTCCTTTGAGAAATAAAAATCCCATGTTTAGATCTAGCAACCTCAATACCCAAGAAGTATCGTAGCTCTCCCAGATCTTTCACCTCAAACTCCTTATGAAGGAGTTGTTTAAGAGACTCAATCTCACTGTTATCATTCCCTGTCACTATAGTATCATCCACATATACAACAAACAAAGTCAAGGAAGAGTTCACTCTTTTAATGAACAATGTATGGTCTATCTGGGCCTGTACATAGCCGAATTTTTCAATTGCTTGTCTGAATCTATCAAACCAAGCTCTAGGGGACTTCTTTAGTCCATACAAGGCTTTATTCAACCGGCAAAGCTTCTTACCTGTCTCTGCATCATAAAATCCAGGAGGTAACTGCATGTAGACTTCTTCCTGTAAGTCTTCATTGAGGAAGGCATTTTTAACATCCATCTGAAACAAGGGCCAAGAATAATTGGCTGCAAGGGATAACAGAACTCGAATAGTGGTCATCTTTGCTACTGGAGCAAATGTCTCCAAGTAGTCTATACCATAAGTCTGAGTAAATCCCTTYGCAACTAATCGGGCCTTATACYTTTCAATGGAACCATCAGCATTATGTTTCACAGTAAATACCCATCTACATCCAATCGGTTTCTTTCCTTTAGGCTGGTCAACTAGCTCCCAAGTATTATTCCTTAGAAGGGCATCCATTTCAACCTTCATTGCATCTTTCCACTCAGGAACTAACAAGGCTTCCTGCATTGTTCTGGGAATAGGAATATCAGCAATGGATGTGAGAAAGGACCTGTAAGAGGGGGACAGGTGATCATAGGACAGAAACTGGGAAATGCAGTGATCTGTGAATGTGGTGCAACACCGTTTGCCTTTACGGACTGCAATGGGGAGGTCAAGGTCATCTAATGAAGGTAAAGTAGCAACAGTGGAAGGTATCTCAAGGGGACTTGGATCTGATAAAGGGACTGTGGTACCTGGATCTGGGTACGTAGAAGGAACTGGGGCCGGCCTGGACTGCTGATGACCGAAATCAACTTGCCTCCACCACCTGTGATAGACTCTCAAATCCTGACACCTCTGACAACCCTCCCCATTACATCCCTCATCACTCAATGGAACAGGTAAAGGAACTTTTGATGAGTTTACCCCACTCTCATTAACCCCACTCAATGGAACTTCTGATGAGTTAACCTCACTCTCACTAACCTCCCCCTGAGGAGAAACCCTAGGGTAATAGGGTACCTCCTCAAAGAAAGTAACATCCATCGAGACAAATCTCCTCTCAGAAGTAGGTTCATAGTAGCAATAACCCTTTTGAGTTTGCGCATAACCGAGAAAAATGCATTTGGAGGCCTTAGGATCAAATTTGGAACGATGAGGTCTA